CCTCCTCCTCCTCTTCCTTTATTAGTTGGTTAGTGTATTACTTCGGTTTGTTTTATTTAGTAAGAATGTTATTGCGCTTGCAACATAATAAGGTCATATCAACAAATTGTGGTGCAGCCTTATTGGCTGTTTCTTGTTTGTTTTAGTAGAAGTTTTACGGCGCTTGCAACTGCATAAGGTCATTTGAGCGCCAGAAGATTAGAGGTGTTACAAGAGAGTAACAAACTTAAAAAAGAAGAAGGGGGGGGGGATAAGGACGATAGAAGTTTGATAGGAAAGAATAAGCTAACCACGCCAGAGCATCCGCCAACCACCCACTTGGTTTTTTCCATTAGATTTTGCAAATCATAACTCAGAGAATAAAACATGTATCAATCTGTCTATCTATCGATTTATCTACAGTTTGCTCTATTTGTGTACCTGTATGCTCATCTATCTATCTATCTATCTATCTATCTATCTATCTATCTATCTATCTATCTATCTATCTATCTATCTATCTACACATCCATATATCTATCAATCTATCTATCTATCTATCTCTCTCTATTTATCTATCTATCTATCTATCTATCTATAGACTACTCCGAGCGAGGAACAGATGTGTTCCGGCACAGACGAACACACACGAGACCAGAAAAGAGTTCTTCCAGAGTGAGTATAGCCTGTCATGAGATCTTGTGTCGGATATTATTTTGTGTGCATATTTGTGGGTGGTACGTGTAACCATCATTGTTATAGGTGTTTAAAAAGTGAAAGTAGAAAAAGGAACGATGAATATGAACAGAGGCGGGTCTAGGTGGAATAAAACAACATAGAAAATACAAATCATCATCAAGTGCCAGATCTGTGAATGGCACTAGCAATCATGGTTTCCATTCATTCCTTTTGCAATGGTTTAGTTTTAGCAAGAGTTTAATGGCACTTGGAACACAATACAGTCATATAAGTGCCGAAGGTTAGAGGTGTTACAAGAGAGTAACAAACTCAAAAAAGAAAGAGCGGAGAAAGAGACGATAGATTTTTGACAGGAATGAGGGAGCAAACCACACCAGAGCACCCGCCAACCAACCACTTTGCGATGATACAGAATAAGGATTTATCCATTTGAAGAAGAAAAAAAAGAGTTATTTTTCTAGGATGATAAAGTGTTGTTGAACAAAATCCTAAGCAAAACTAATGTCATTATCGTCGGTATCTTCTCCACAGAGGTTGATGAAATCAGAGGCTCCAGTCAGGTCGCGCCAAGCACAGAGTGAGTTGTGTTGTTGTCGTTTGTTTGATGATTGTAATCCTCACCAGTATTATCATCATCAAAATTTATTATAATGATCCTCATAATCTTCATCATCATCATCATTAGCAGCAGCAGCAGCAGCAGC